TGAGTGCTTTTAACCCATGGACATTCTACTTTTGTTTAGTAGCAAAACCTGTGATGTGGTTGACCCATGCAGTTTTTTAAAAAATAAAAGTAATTGCCAACATTTACAAAAATCCAGATTTCATGCTTTTCTTGATAAACCAGAGTCTCTAGTCTACAAGGCCTTGGGCCCCTGCATGAGGTCTGCTGGCCAGAGCGTTCACCCTCTTGGACGTGAGACATGGGCTTGACCTTCACTCCAGTCCCAGGCCCTTCCGCGTGCATTAGGGTCTCCCAGCTTTCAGCATGTGACACGTATGCTGTAGACCATGGAATTTAACAATTAAATGATGTCGTGTCCTTTGCTGGTGTTTTCTATCTTATGTGTCCTCATTAATAGTGCACTGTGGGAGAGAGGGAAGGTTTCCTTTCTCGATGATGTGGTGGTAGTCAACACTGGGTAAAGCCCTGTTGGTTGACTGGTACCACGTGCCGTGGTTACCTGTTTATTTCACACAGTTACATCTCTCTCCAGCAAGACGGGGCAGTGTCTAGCATGGTAATGAACACTTACTAACCTGATCTTTCAACATTGTATTTAGAACTTCTACTTCAATAACAAAGGAAAAAAAGAAGGCAAGGAAACCAATGAAAAAATGAATGCCAAGAACAAGGAATCCTTACTTGAGGTAACCTTAATTTTGCAGAGTAGAAGAAAATAGAAGGACAGTCTCTGTATCTTCATAAATTATTTGCTTCCTAAAACAATGGGAAATTCTGAAACACGCACTGAAATTTTAACTTGGGGTTTTAAAATCAAATTACTAGTAAACTCTAGCTATTTAGATCATCAGCTATCTCTGAGTCAGTTGTAAAAGAAGATGGCTTTAGACAATATATTTTGCTTTTCATGAAGTTGGATTAGCAATTCTTGATTCCAGAATCCTCATAAAACTCATCTTCTAACACCCCATGTGGTTCATTACTTAAGTGCTCCATGGAAGTCAGACTTAAGGACTTCCAAATCTTCTTGAAAGTGAATTCTAAGATGCTCTTCCAGCAACCAGGTGTGGTGGGAAGTGTGAGATTTGCAGTTGGAGACCCGATAGAGGACGTGGCTCTGTCAGGAGCTGTTCACGTGCTCCTGGGCAAGTCCCAGCTCCTCTGTGAACCTCAGTTTGTGAATGATGTGGGATCATTACAGAGATTCAGGGAAACAGTGAAAGCACAGTGTTCAGATGTCTGTGATGATCACTGTTGCATGTTCCAGACATCCATTGGGCAATTGGTTTTTTGGGAACTCCTAAAAGTAACTATGTGAAAACGAAGCTCTGTTCCTAGCACTAGAGGTGGATGAATGAGTGCCAGATCACAGGGCACAAATGGCCCTGCCAGAGCCAGCCACATTGACCTTGTCCTAGACAGTGTGTTGCCCTTTTCTGGAGTTAGTAGATTTTGGTCTTCTCTTGAAAAATCAGAAGACCTGGTGATGCCTGGACTCAT